AGAGCGGTTGGGAGAAGGCAGTGAGTGGAGGAAGCTGGTGACCAGGAGAGTATTTCTCTGTTGCTGTTACTGCATGTGACTCAGAGTTGCACTGGAGCCTGTACGAAGGTGTACTGAGGGTAATTTCTTTACAATTTATCTCCCTTTATTATAGGGAGAAGTCTGGCTGAAGGGTGACTGACACTGACACAGATTAGACATGTAACTTCTGCGTAGCTGAAGTTGGCTGAGATGAAGCCCAACCTCATGCACCGTCAATGCTCAGTGAGAAGTGAGCAGCCCCTCCACACAGCTTGATTCAACCTGTTCGTCTCATTTCTCTGTTCAATGACAACAAAGAAAGCCTGGGTTGCACGGGACATGGGCTTCCAGACTGCTAAGGTTCAGAGGGGAACCCAGAAGAAGAGTCAGAAACCCTTTTTCTATGGAGCGTCTCTCCGAAATCTGGTGCCTACAGGGATGGGTGGGAACCGGATAGACCTGAAGGACTACAGGACATCCTATAGCCAGTTAATAACTCAGTCACACAATTCTTCAGTGTAGTTTATCAAGCTGTTACCTGTGGTTTGGCACTCTAATAAGGCTTTTTCACCAAAACCTTGGTTCCTGCAAGTTGCAGGCTGAGTTTGAGGTCTTTGGTCCTTCCAGATGTCACAGTGAGTGCTGGTGCTAATTTTCCTGGAAACCTCTGGGCTATTTGAGGCTCCCCTCTGCTGTTCCTAAAGCTGCTTTTCAGATGGTGTGTAAATGTAAATAACTTCATCACATGTGGGGTCAATAACAACGCTTTCAACGTTTATTGAACCATTGGTGCTGTATTTCCCAGCCCTTTAAACCCCATTAAGAAAGAGACTTTCTGCACAATTCACCAAGAAGTTACAGAAAGGAGGTTGCCATTGATATCCTGAAGGTCTCTCTGTCATGGTATTAAGAAACACATAACCTCAGGTAAGCAATACAAGTAACCAGCCTTAAAGGTAGGATAAACAATGTTCTTGCCCAAGAAAATTTTCCACCCAGCTGATATTTCCTCACACCCCACAAGAAATAGGCACCTCTGTATGTAATTCACTTTGTTGCAAGACCAGTCTCGAAAGCAAATCCCGTGGGTCACACCCCAG